TATATCCTTGAATATTCTGTTTTTGCCAGTATGCATCAAGTAGTTGTTTGAACATCTGTATGGACTCTGATAAAACCACTTCTTCAGGCAGAGAATTCCACATCCTTATTGTTCTTAGAGTAAAAAAACCTTTCCTTTGCCTTAGACGAAATCTTCTGTCTTCCAGTCTAAATGCATGACCTCGTTGTAACGGCTAACCTGCTGGAGAGGGGTATCTGCCGTTGGAGACGTCCTTTTTTAGGCAAGCTGCTGTGAAGTAATGGAGTTCCTATTCCCATCCACGATATCCAAGTGTATAATCCGGCAGTGCTGTTGTCAGGGTACCTGTTGGTGATGTATCCAGGGAGGACATCCTCTCTGCTTAGGGGCTCCCTTCCCCTAGCATTTCGGCATATTTCGGCCGTTTTCGCGCCGGCCGCGCTAGCTCCTCCCCCTTTTATGACGCGACGGCTAGCGTCGACGTCATGACGTCGGCATTTGCATAAAGTGCCGGGAACCGCTATTCCGGACCTTTTGGGGGCGTGGTCTCTATTTAGGTACAGGGTATTTAAAGGAAACCTTTACTACTGCTCATTGCCCTGTCGTGGTTCTAGCTTGCTAGTCACTCAGCGCGTTCTTTATCTAGTGTTTCTGGTTTTGACCCTTGCTTGTCTTTTGTCCTGTTGTCCTCTCCTCTCCTTTGACTCGGCTTGTATCTCGCTTACCTGTCCTCCGGCTCCCTTGACCTCGGCTTACCTTTTGACTATTCTTGCTTTGTCCTTACGTTAGTCCGGCCATTCTAAGGTCCGGTATACGTACCTCCTTCTGTGCGCACTCTGCGTATTGGATCCCTGTCAGTTTCCTGACATTACGACAGGGCCATGATGGATCCTGCAGGTGCTAGTCCTCCTGACCCCAGATTTGAGGCCATGGACCATAGAATGGACCAAATGGCTTTAGCGTTACAAACTTTGTTGACACGCTCCAGTACCCAGTCTGAAGAAATACGTTCCACTGCTAGCCACTCGCTAAGTACTGGTTTGGAAGTAGCCACTGTAGGCGCATCTTCCCATGTCACGTCACCATTACGATATGGGGGTTCGCCTGATGCTTGTCGTGGTTTTTTAAACCAGATAAGTATACATTTCGAACTACAACCCCGGGCTTACCCCACTGACAGGGCTAAGGTAGGCTTTATTATAACCCTGCTAATAGATAAAGCACTTAGATGGGCCAATCCCCTTTGGGAGAATGACAATCCTTTAGTCTACAACTACACTGCGTTTGTCACGGCTTTTAGAAGAACCTTTGACCCCCCAGGGAGGAAGATTAATGCGGCCAGATCCCTGTTACGCCTTAAACAACAAGATAGGACCCTTGTAGAATATGCTCTAGAGTTTAGATCATTGGCAGCAGAAGTGAAATGGAACGAACAAGCTTTTATGGATGTTTTCTTGAATGGGTTGTCTGATGAAATTCTAGATGAAATTGCCACAAGAGAACTTCCGGAAAATTTAGAGGATTTAGTATCCTTCATTTCCAGAATAGATGAACGCATGAGACAGAGGCAGAACACTCGGGAAAGAGTTACTAGACTTCCTGTAAGACTCGCTCCCTCATTTCAGAACCCTGACTCCTATAATCCTACTCCACCAGAACCTATGCAAATAGGTAATACTCGCTTATCTGAGGCTGAGAGACAGTACAGAAGAAGGGAGGGTCTCTGTTTATACTGCGGGCTGAGAGGTCACCTACGTCTCAGTTGCCCTAATCGTCCGGGAAACGCTCGCACCTAAGTTCCCTTAGAGGACGGGCCTTGGGTGTTTCATTACTGTCCTCTATGCATAATAAAAAAGACCTTAGGCTTCTGATTCCTGTCTCTCTAGCTTGGGAAAAGGGGTTTATTACTACGATGGCATTATTAGATTCTGGAGCAGCAGAAAGCTTTATAGACCAAACTTTCGCTAATATGCATTGTATCCCATTCCAATTGAGAGATACACCCTTGGCCGTTGAGGCCATAGATGGTAGACCTTTATCTGAACCAGTAATATTCCATGAGACCGAACCCGTTAAGCTTACTGTTGGTATTTTCCACGAAGAGTTGATTTCCCTTCTGTTAATTTCCTCCCCGGCAGTCCCAGTGGTTCTAGGATATTCTTGGCTCAAGAGACACAACCCTCAGATTGACTGGGAGGGTGGAGAAATCGTTTCTTGGGGTATGGGTTGTAGGAAAGAATGTCTGCAGAGAGTTACTTCTGTTTGCCCCGTGAACTCTTATGCTAACACTTCTCAATCCACAGACGTTCAGATACCATTACAATATCTAGACCTCAAATCTGTATTTGACAAGGGTAAGGCGGATACTTTACCTCCCCACCGGTCTTATGACTGTTCTATTAAACTTTTCCCTGGTACTATGCCTCCCAGGGGTACGGTATACCCTCTATCCACCAAGGAAAACTTAGTTTTAGAGGAATATATCAAGGAGAATTTAGACAAGGGATTTATTAGAAAGTCTTCTTCTCCGGCGGGGGCGGGTTTCTTTTTTGTAGAAAAGAAAGACGGTACCTTACGTCCTTGTATAGACTATCGGGGATTGAACAAAATTACTATCAGAAATGCTTACCCTATTCCTTTGATTACTGAACTCTTTGACAGACTAAAGGGGTCGAGTATTTTTACTAAACTTGACTTAAGGGGAGCATATAACTTAGTGCGAATTAAACAAGGAGATGAATGGATGACAGCATTTAATACCCGTTACGGGCATTATGAGTATACCGTAATGCCGTTTGGGCTTTGTAACGCCCCGGCCGTCTTCCAAGACTTGATCAATGAAGTTCTTAGAGAATTCCAACATGAATGTGTAATTGTATATTTGGATGATATACTAATCCATTCTAGAGACATTAATTCACATCATAGACAAGTCAGAAAGGTATTACAGAAACTTTTACAACATGGATTGTATTGTAAATTGGAAAAATGTAGCTTTGACCAGTCTCAGGTAACTTTCTTAGGTTACGTAATTTCCAAAGACGGGTTTATGATGGACCCGACCAAACTAAAATCGATTTTAGATTGGCCTTTACCTAAGGGACTCAAAGCCATACAAAGATTTCTTGGATTTTCTAATTATTACAGACGTTTTATTAAAGGGTACTCCTCTGTTATCGCTCCTATCACTAATATGACCAAACAAGGAGCCGATACCAAAACCTGGTCTACTGAGGCTTTATCTGCTTTCGAAACGCTCAAACAGTCTTTTGCCTCAGCACCTGTATTAGTTCATCCTGATACCTCTCTACCCTTTTTACTTGAAGTTGATGCGTCTGAAACAGGGATAGGCGCAGTGTTATCCCAAAGACAAAGTTTAGATAAGCCGCTGCACCCTTGCGGTTTTTTTTCCAAGAAACTGTCACACACTGAAAGGAGATATGACATTGGTGATAGAGAACTTTTAGCTATCATTATGGCATTAAAGGAATGGAGACATTTGTTAGAGGGCACCGTCCTCCCAGTTACTATCTTGACTGACCACAAAAATTTATCGTATATGGGGGAGGCCAAAAGATTATCTGCCAGGCAGGCACGTTGGTCTATGTTCCTTACACACTTTAATTATGTGCTTACTTACAGGCCTGGTTCTAAGAACACTAAGGCAGACGCTTTGTCACGTCAGCACGAACCTACCACCTCTACAGAGGATACTTTGTTCCCTATTATTCCTGAAGTCAATATTATCGCCAACACCAATGTCAAAATACACTCTCCATTGCTCGCTGATATTCAGAGCGAACAATCTCTTGCTCCCGAACGTACTCCTGTGGGCCGCTTGTTCGTGTCTCCCAAATTCCAAGTGGACATTATTCGCTGTTTCCACGATAGCAAGATCGCTGGTCACCCCGGCATCCACAAAACTTACTGCCTGATCTCAAAAGACTTCTGGTGGCCCGGTTTACGTAGGGATGTGGAAGACTTTGTCAAGGCTTGCAATGTTTGTGTCAGGAATAAACTTCCGCGGGATCTCCCTTGTGGTTTATTGCAGCCCTTAGTCGTTCCCAACAAACCTTGGGCTTGCTTGGCTATGGATTTTATTGTTGATCTACCAGCTTCCAATAGGCATACAGTTATACTCACGGTCCTTGACAGGTTTACTAAAATGGCTCATTTCATTCCCTTGCCTAAACTTCCGTCCTCCCCCGAACTGGCCGTGATATTTGCTAGAGAAATTTTCCGTTTACATGGTATTCCCAATGAGATTGTGTCAGACAGGGGTTCCCAATTTATTTCCCGTTTTTGGAGATCCTTCTGTTCACAGTTGGGCATCAAACTGAATTTTTCTTCGGCCTATCATCCTCAATCTAACGGAGCAGCCGAACGCACTAACCAAAAAATTGAGCAATATCTACGTTGTTTTGTTTCTGAACACCAGGATGACTGGGTCGGTCTGATTCCTTGGGCGGAGTTTGCTCACAACAACCTTGTTTGTGGTTCCACTCATAATAGCCCTTTTTTCTTGAACTATGGCTTTAACCCTACTGTTCTTCCGTCGGTGTCTCCTTCCCAGGGTATACCGTCGGTTGATATTCATATAGCCAACCTGAGAAAGTTGTGGGATCAGACTCGACAAATTCTTGAACGTAGTTCCGCGGTGTTTAAGTCACATGCTGATAGGCGTAGACGTCCTGCTCCTATTTTTTCTCCGGGGGATAGGGTCTGGTTGTGTACCAGACACATTCGCCTGAAAGTTCCTTCCTTGAAGTTTGCTCCTCGTTACATTGGTCCTTACAGGGTACTGAGGAGGATCAACCCGGTTTCTTATTTGCTGGATCTACCTCCTACTCTACGCATCCCTAACTCTTTTCATGTGTCGTTATTGAAACCTCTTGTTTGTAACAGATTTTCCTCCCGCTCT